ACTGATAAAAATTACGACTATGTGAAAATAGAGGGGATAATTTCGTAACATTTACAAATTTGCGATAAATAGGTTCATATACGAATGTATGCGATTCACATATGAACTATATGTTCATATGTGAATCGTGTAATTCACATATGAACTATTTTAACTGATTTATATATGAACTATTTTAACTGATTTACATATGAACTAATTAACCCATTCACATATGAACTAACTAATTTATTCACATACGAACCCATGTGATTTACATATGAACTAATTAACGGATTCAAATATGAACATATAGTTTATATGTCAATCACATGTTTTCACATATGAACCCGTTTGCCACCTATTTGTAAAAGTTACGAAACTACCTCTTAATTTTCCGCATACCCATGGCAGGAATTATTCGGTGCTTCACGGTCAAAGCAACAAACGTTGACCAGATAAAGGGCTTCAATCTTTCTCTAATGAACCTTTCCATATACACATGCATACATACACACACATATACGCGCGCACACACACATACATGCGCATGCACACACATACGCGTGCATGCACACACATACATACACACACATATACACACACACACACACACATATATATATATATATATATATGGGGCCAATTTTGGAGGAAAACCGTGAAAATAAAAAACTGAGAACACGCTAGTAACCAATCATCTGGACGGTATGCACATGTGCATACAAGTAATTTGTCTGATATGCACATGTAGATACCAGAAAAATTACTTGTATGCACAAGTGCATATTGTCCGGATGAACGATTATCAGGGTGTTTCTCACTTTTTCATTTTTTACAGCTTTCCATGAACCTCTCTCTCTATATAGATAAAACTGTCTAATTCTTAGAAACTGTGTAAACTAATTTCGACCAATAGGAAAATTCCTTTTTTTCTTAATTAAATTTAATCATTAAGGTAGATTTGTCGTTTACATTGTTTTCTATTAAATATGGAAGTTATTAATAAATCTTAATTAAGGTAACATAATAAAGGAAATTTTATAAATGGTAATATTTAAATATTTATTTAAATTAGAATTTTAAAAATTGAATATTGTTATTTGGTTTCTCGGTTTATTAGTGGTAATAATATGAAAATCGAAAATTATTATATTCATTAATCCACGAAATCAGTAACAGATCCAAACAAAGATTCATGAACCGGTAAAAATATAATCAGCTGCGAAACAGATTCATGTTAGATTTGTTCATGAAAATGTTCATTGAGTTTGTTTTATGAAACGTATGCAGATTGGTTCGTGAAAACGTTCATTGAGGAGCTTGTTTTATGAAACTTTTTGGGATGAATTGGTTGCGTAATATAATATTCTTGCATAATCTTGTTTTCTTATCAACAATATTTGATGAAATTGTTTCATTTTTTTTGGATGATTTTGTTCACTTAATGGTTAACAAAGCATGTAATGGTAAATGCATTAACTCTATGAAACGTGTTCGTATTAGAAGAAATTCGCTGATGAAATGTGTGCATGAAGAAAGTGAAACAATTTCATAATTGATAAGAAAATGTTGTGTATTAACGAACAGTGAAGCAATTTCATTATTACGACAGAGAAACCATTTCATAATTGTTAATAACATGTTGTTTAATTAGCAAACAGTGAAACCATTTCATAATTAGATTGAAATGGATCCATCTACTGGAAACTTGAAAATGACAAATGTCTCATCTAACATTACGTTGATTTGTGTATTGATGAAACYGTGAAACCATTTCGTTCATGAAATGTAGTAGTAACTTTTTTTTATTATCCAAAAGGTTTCATTATGTTAAATTGATTATAGTGTGTTTTATTTTTATTGTTGACCTATTTTAATGATAAATGTTATTTTTTTATAATAATATATTATTTTACAAATGATTTTGTTTCATTAATATTACGATATACATGATATAATTGCCATTAATATTACCACTACCAAAGTTACCATTTTGCTGTTTTTGGGATTATAAAATAATTTTTTATTTTTTATTTTTTTTAATTTTCTAATATAACCTAAACTAAGCTTGATGATTGATCAAGAAAATGGATGGATGAGATTGGTTTACATAGTTTACACAAATGAGGGCGGTTTTCATTTGATCACTCCTCTCTCTATATGTATATGTATGTATATAGGGTGATGAACATTTGAGAACTCGGTTATTTGTGGGAACTGTGAGATCAAACCATATCCACTAGCTCAATGAGTATTCATAGTATGAATTACCATGTATGAGTTCAATGTTTGAAACATAAAACACCAATGCCTTGAATCAATGAATATTCACAATATGAAGTAGCTTGTATGAGTTTAATGTTTGGGTAGAGTGAGTAATCACAATGTGAATTATGATGTATAGGTTCTACATGTGTAGTTGTGAATGAATCTCATAGTTTTCACAACATGTAGAGTTCTCCTATGAATATCCCTATATATAAAAGATGATTGTACCCCAATACATGACGAATGAAATACAAATAGGGAGGCTATAAATGATAACTGTATCAGTAACTAGGAAGACGATAAAGTATAAAATGATGCTCGTTACATACCACCAAGTACTTAAAAACTGAATCATTATATATATATATATATATATATATAAATAAATACCATTCTAAGATCATCAATCACAAATATGGAACATAAATATTCATACAACCGCTTACACAGTGAAAGAATTAATAAGAACCTATGCAAATGGGTGTATACATAAAAAATGTACAACGGGCTTTTTACTCCCTCAAAAATTCCTCCTAGATCTCTATCATCTCTAAATCTGTTGGACAAGTGGATTCACATATATTACAACCGACACAATCCTCTCGGAGACCCACTAAAGCATGAAAGCCAGGATCTTTCAGAAAATGGATTCCTCTATCTTCGACACAATTCGTACACCTGTAGCATAATATAAATATAATATAATAAATACGAAGATAAATATGTGATGAATCAAACCCAAAAACGCACACTTCTTAATCAACCACTCGTTGCTGCTGCCATCTCAGGCATTCAATCATTGCTCATGACTTAAAATCTTCAATGCATATACACAAAAATAGATGAATAAGAATAAACGAGATACATTTTAATGTTTCGTTTTATTTTGTTTTCGCCGTTGTTATAATATGATTTTTATGTGGTACTGAAAAAACGATAATGTTTTTATTTTTTGAATAAAATATTAATTTGATGGTATCATAAAATTATGAAAAAAATGTAGTGATTTTAACATCAAATTAAATATTTAAAAGTTCTTATTTTTTTTTGTGTAATTTCTTTAATTTAATTTTTTATTAAAATTTAATTTAGATTTATTAATGAAGTCATTTATTTTTGGTTTAATAATATTTTTTTATAAAGATAATAATTAGTATTTTGTTAGAATTCAATGATTATCTTAAATATATTTTATATTTTTATGAGATACATATCCAGTATTTGATTATATTTATCTGCAGTTAGTTACACGAATTCAAACATGGAGCTATAATCAGTTGTACATACGAACAAATTACTTGTAGCTTGAATTTTAAGTAACGTGCATTAATAAACAATACTTAATGTATAAAAATGGTTTTTAAGAGTTTTTTGTCAAATGTTTTATAATATAGTATATATATATATATATAGTCGAATTTATATGAGAATAATGCATATTTAAGAAAATAAAAAAATGAATATGGACCATATATTTTATCAAATAATACCTTAAATAATTAATTTTAAAAATAAACAAATAAAGGCATAAAAATAATTTAGTTACATAGAAGTTGTTAAAGTTATTTATTTAAGATTCTACTTTTACTATATATGAACTTGTTTTGATTGGTAATTTCATGGTTCTTGATTGAATTTGTCTTCCATTTTAAATACGGATCTGTTTCAGTTTATAATATATTGGGTTGAGTTTATGTGAGACCAATGGTTTTTTGTGGGATCCGTAAGACCAATTTATGTTCATTGATCAATTTTATAAATTAATGATCTAATGGTCTAAAGTTGTACGGTGACAATTTTGTGATTATTAAGAAGTCTCATGGCAATTTTGTGATTATAAATGTTCAGATTGTAAATCTAATCCAAGGGTTGTGAATTGGTTTTACAGGTCTCGTGAAAAACCTTTAGTCTCACATAATCCCAAATCATAAAATATTAAAGGTTTTACAAGTATTCTCAAAGTTATTTTTTCATTTCAATGTCTCAAACATTCTTTATTTTGCATCTCATCTTCAACTAAACAAAAACCACTACCATATCCATATTTCTTAACCCAAAATACAAAAAGGACATGAACCCTTTTGAAAATAAAGAAAAACAGAGGTTTGCCTTGGAAAAATTTCACCAGAAATGTGAGATATAAAAAAGGAAAGGTTCTGTTGAGACTTAAGTTTCTTTGTCAGAGCTCTTCGAACCTGAAGTAGAAGTTAACGTAATAATTCTTAGAAAGATATATAATAAAATAATATATTCTAAGATATATAAAATAAAAGTAAGTAAATGAAGAACAATGATAAAATATCAAACTACCCATTCGTTAACTAACAGTTTTACAAATCAAAAGGATCTATATATGATAGGTTTAAAGATTTATTTTATTCAAAAAATTTATTGCATAACTTACTCATTTAAAACAATTTGTTGAATAGAAGGATGTTTGAGATTGCTTATAAAAATAACTTATTGATTTATTTCGATGTGATACTGATAATAAGCATTTGTGAGTGTTTAAATAAATAACTTATATCGATGCTAAACCGGTAATAAAAAGTTTTTGAAAAAATTAAACTCTTCTAATTTATAACAAATTAATAAGTGATTTATAAAAAAATATAGAATTGTTTCAAATAAGTAATCCAACGCAAGGACTAAATTAATCATCTGGAATTAACCAACGTGGTTCCCTTGACAAGCCGTTACGTGGACCATCTAACTTGCTCCTGTGTATGCAACACATACTTATACAGCATCAACGTCAGCATCACCGCAGAAAATCAAAAGAATGGGTCAGGCATTTCGTCGAGCATCTGGAAGGATCCGTACATCTCAACCTCCATCTTCACCGTCTCAGCTGAATAAGCCACTTGATCGCACCCAACCGCTGCCCCCCTTAGATGATAAACTTCCCCACGGTCGTAATGTTGACCCTAGTTCCGGTAAGTGAGTTTTCTTAAGTTCAATTCTTACTTAATTCCTATTTGAATGAATACCCACTTCAGACATTACAGTTAATTTTGAAAGTTTGTGCTTCACATTGACCACCGAATACCGAACCATGCCAATACTTTAAATGGCGCTTCAGGATGTGTCTTCTATGCAGATATAATATTTATTATACAGAACAGGCAATTTGGTTTGGTAGGGTAGGCTGAGATTTCCATAAATTAGTTAGGGCTCTTTACCCTAAATTTTATTAAGAAGGTTCTTAACGGTTAAGCTTTTGGGGAAGATATAGTGCTTGGTGAACGTGTCAAACACATGCTCTTCATAGGCTACACCTCTTATTGGCCAAAATATGAGCATAAGGGGATTAATTATTAAGCAGTTATAATGGGGCACGTAAACCTAATTGCGGTTATCTTGGTGTCAACGCTTTGTTTTTTCTTTTTTATGGATTTTGGTAGACGTTATTTTTTCTTAGTTTCATAATGCTTATTTTACTTTTTCCTGTAGGGATGTAATTTGAGATACAATTTCTCAATCCAAGGTTGATTTGATTTCTTTGTATTTTGTATTTTGCACTTTGAAACTTTGTTATCGATGACGATCCTTTTCTAGGCTATAATCTGGCACAGTAAAGATCTTTTTACCCGAAACTGAGTTAAATTTGTAGCATCAATTTACATTCAGAAACTGACTTGTTTGACCAACAACCAAAGACTTGTAATTTCAGAAGGGACGGATTGTTAATTTTGTAAACAGCTTAAAAGAGGAAGAGATGGTTGCACTGTGCAGTTGTGATAAGAGCAGCATTCTGAATGCTAAAACCACGTCTATTATGCCCTTATCATGAACTGAGTAGTGAATATGTACATTTCTGGTGTTTAAGGCTGCAAAAATTTATTTTCATTTGCAGTAGGCATAGTTAGTTCACCAAGTTGCTATGCTGTTATAGCGGTGAAAATACAAAATTGTGGTTAAGACCGATATTTGAAATAGCGGTTATAGCGGTCCAAGAAGAGCGGTTCATATAATAGTTCTTAGAATTTGTATTATATATATATATATCTATATATATATATATATATATATATATATATATGCGTACATAAACATATCATATGCGTTAATTAAAAATATAGTTTCAACATCAAAACATCAACTTAAACAAGTTTCACAAGGCTGAGGCAGGAGCTGAGAGAGAACGAGATTGTCGAACCAGAATTCAGAAGTAGTAGTAGTAGTATTCGGAAGCTGAGACAGAACAAGAGTAGGAGGTTGTCGAATCAGAACTCAGAAGCTCAAGCTGTCGATCGAGAGTAGGAGGCTGTCGATTGTCGAACCAAAAGAAACTAAAGTCTAAAACCTAACTTGGGTTGATGAAAGTTGCTGACTTATTAAAACTAAAACACAGCCAAAAAATCAAAAGGCCCATATTGCTGACTTATCAAAAGGCCCGAGTCCAAAAAATCAAGTAAAGCCCAAAATATCTGTATACCGGTATTTTGGATCGCGATTTCACCTCAAATATCAGTCAGTTGCTGCCGCTAATACCGGAAACACAATTTTCACCGCTATTTGACCACCACTATTTTGTCTTAGTCCGATGCAATAGCGCCGCAATTAACAGCATAGATCACAAGTCTTATGTGTTGTTTCAGAATGTTAGAGGTGAATGCAACTTCATCACTAACTTCGGTTTTCATGCTAAGCCTGCAAATTCTTGAAGTTAACATGTTACATAATAATTCCGTTTTGTTTGAAGCTTATTTCTGACGTTGTTTATCTAGTTGATATGTTCTCACTGGTGGCTCTTACATTATTTTACTAGAGGGTCAACCAAGAAACAATGCTGATAATGTTATTGAAGAACGTGATTCTCAATATGATGCCATGCTTAGCAAGATGGTTGGCCGAATTCAAACAAAACCTGGTGGGAAACTGGAGATGGGTGAGGTGAGTTGACAAGACTGGTTTTCATATATTCCTGCAACTACTAGTTCCTGTCACTTATGCTGAAATGCCACCCTAAATGGCTGGATCTCCTGTCAGGTCCTGCTTTGACCTTCTGTTGTCATGTATTATTTATTATATGATATTGCTTTTAGAATGGGGAGATATGTTGCCTTCAACTTACACTACTTAGAGAAACTTAAAATACATCTAATTGATGCATATGGTTCAGATGAAATAGGTGATGGAAACATAATATTTGCAGTGCTTATGCTAACTCACAACTCAACTAGACCGTTGTTCAAGCCAACATCTGGTAAAGGATCCAGTAAGAACTTCAGAGGGAAACAAGCACTCTACTCGTTGGGGTAGAGGTCAATTCTGCATGTGTCATACCTCCGGGTGGGATATACCGACTCATTTGGTTTGGTTTAGTGAGTGTGTTGTGTGAGAGATAGATAGAGGGAGAGCAAGAATCCTTATTATATATTAAGAATACACCTAGAAGAGCCTATAATGGGAAGTTGAAGAACTGGAGCTACATGTGTAAAGCAAACAAATTGCTTTGCAGGGAAAAGAGTGTTGCTCATACTACAGGAAGTACATGGTAGGGGATGATGAAAAAGTACAATTAGAAAGGTGTTGCATCTTGTGACTTGATCAGGGGTCAAAGAACACAGACAATGCACAATGCCCTTAAAAGCTGACAGTAGTGGAAAGGCAAAGCTTACAGCTGCAGCCTGCCAGTATGAGAAGAAAAAGAAAGCCACACCAAGGTCCAAGGTTCTAAAAACGTGCATGTGAAGAAAATTATGACAAACAAATATTTGAGAAATGGCAAGAGTAAGTAGCAATCAAGAGTTCAGAAAAGGATGCATCTTTCTTCGTAAAGCGAGTCTATAATTGTGGAGAAATAGGAGTTAACCTTAGAAGTAGCAGTGCTAGAAATTGATGCTTTGCGGTTTCAACAATGACGTGGTTCAGAAAACAAAAGACAGATAGAATGGAAAGGAAAGGAAAGGAAAGGAAAGGGGGTCCTAATAGAAGAGTAATTCATTAGAAACAAGATCCACAACATGGTTGTGTGATTATGTGATGCAGATATTCTTTCTTCAACTTGCTCTCTGTGTGAATGTGAAATATTGTCATTGGGATATCTTAAATAGCTGTTGACATTAGGTGTCTTGTCTAAAATGTTTTGTGTCTTGGGTGACCATGAGAGGGTGACTTTCCGCTTATTCTAAGTAATTTCTTCTTTGACGTAATTTCAGGATATGTTATAAATAAAGCTGAATTTCAAGTTCAGATTCAAGATTTAATAGTTTTATCATGTAAAGTAACAGCACCCAATATATAAGGACATGGGGCGTTACAGTTGGTTATGCTTGTAGTCACAAAATTATTGTTTAGTTAACCTTTTCAGCATTTGGAGTTTCTGTTGAAGTGTAAATTTGTCCATGGAAGTTCCATTTTGGGACATATGCTACTTGTATCTGGTTTCTGGTTCTTCACTGGATTTCAGGAGTAGAATGATCTGGTGGGCACGCGTTATTTAAGATAATGGTGTATATAGCTTACTATTTTTCTAAGTCATGCTACAAATTCAACCTGCTGCAAGGTCTAAGTAACCAGTGCTGTCCTATATCCTGGTACCTGAGATGACCTAAATTTGACAGCCTTATTATCAGGCTAGGACATCGAAACGTTCCTATGGAAGTTAGGGAAGTTGTTCAAAAAACAAAATTTGTACTATTCTGCTGTTTTGTTAAGAAGCATGCTGAGCAATATAAACCTCTTCGCAGAAAGAGCTAGTGAATATCACCGGAAAGCAAAAGTTTAGAAAGGGTTTCAATATCTTTTCCCCAACTTTTACAGACGGTAGGCCAGTCAATGTCTTTTTCTCAAAATGTCTAATAATAGTCATATCCAGGTCAAATGGTCTATTAGTTGCAGCAAGAACAGCCTGAGCATGCTATATTCCTCATTGGAAAATATGATAGTCTCACTGACCTCCACTGCAAGAGTGAACGTGATTCTTGACATGGTTGTCCTCATCACCGGGAAAACATTGAAGTAATGGTAAATATGGAAATATCCCGTCAAGGCAATAGGAAACGATGCTAGAACATGCATTATCTAAATATAGAACAAATATTTGTATTTATCTTTATTTGTGTTATATATTTGCAGTTCAAAGTTGTATTATTAGGTTAAGGAAATGTCTTTATTGTTAGAATGATTATTGTTGCTTAATTAGATATGGGCTGTAATTGAATGTTCATCGAATGATATGCTTTCTAATAAAAGGTGAGTTTTTTCCATGTGACACTAGATTTTGGTTTCAAGCCCTAGATATCCTAGGTATTGTAGGTATGAAGTTTAAGACCTTTGGTGGGCTTGCCAAGTGGTTGGAACATGCTTAGGAAGTTAGGATAACCTAGAGCTCGTGAAATTCGAAACTCGTTCTTGCGTATTGCCTAGTGAATTATGACTTACGAGAGGTGCCTGGGGTATAAAGAAAGAAAAGTAGACATGAAGCTGATCCAATTTCATGATAACAGAAATCATATTCGTGAAGTGCTTGGCGAAAATAATGTTTTTCCATGATGATCTCGCTTCTTCCACAGTGGTATACATGGTTGTTCTCAGCAGCCATATAGAGGAAATTCTGGTATCAGCAATCTCTTATCACATGATACCAAAAAAGAAAATACAAATTAGAGTCTTCTGTGGTCCATATCCTTATCTGTAACTACTCTGTTAATAGTACTGAAATAATATGATAAAAAGACCTTTAGAATTGATGATTAATAACAGTATAGCCAAACTTTCATATATTTAATAGATCTCTTCTTTGTAACTAAATCCATGCATGGTCTTTCTGCTGTATCTATATAATTTTCTGTTTCCTCAAGTGCACACATTTTCTTCTATTGTATGGGCAAGTGGTAAGTTTTGACCTCCTGAAAATTTCTCTATTATGAATGCCTCAAGTTTAGTAAAAGAGTTGCATTAGATAGTTGCTTTCATTGCAAAATATCTATAACGAAGCGTTAGGTTCTGTTCTTCTTGATATTTGTTATGATGCCTCATCTCACTGTGTTTTCTGCCAGTTCTTTCTCATGCTTAGATTTATTACCTCGCTGTTTTTACCTCAGGACTCTTGCCTGGCTTGTGGCTGTATGCTGTGAATTCAGTCTTATGGGGAGTCCTTTTTTTGTCTGAGTGTTGCCTAAGCATGGACATACATATAGGTGGCACTTCATTTTTCGGAGGAAAATAATAGATTAGGTTATTGATTTTTTTAATGGTGAAGTTGCATAGCAAGTTTAAGGAAATATCATTTTCATGTGCTATTCTGTTGAGAACATGTTACTCGGTTCTTCAAGCAAGCATTGCTAAAAGTAATTAGAATTGTTCCGAGGTCTATCACGTAATGTTTGCACCCATCTTTAGTAGTGACATAATACAAAGTTATGAACTGGTACAAAGAGATATAAAGGCATTCCCTAAGGCCTAGGCTTGTACTGTATCATAAAATTTGATTAGAATGGAAGAAAGAAACTTATCTTACAATGTTAGATACCTGTATTGTAACACCCTAGTTTTTATTAAATAAATCTCAAATTTCAGCCTTAAATACACATATTTATACATAAACAAATGCTCCAGCAGCTGCTACATATAGAAAGTAAGCTAGTGATGAGTTGTTAAAGCTAGGAGTGTGTTGGCAAGTCTAGTAAGCATGACTAAGCAAGCTAGTGATGAGTTGTTAA